GTCCCATAGGTTGAGATAGCGTGTATGCACCTCAATTCTGGATACTGAACCAACCTAGTGTGCTCACGAAGTGACCTTCCCCAATCGTACCCAAGTTCCCGAGCCGAGGCAACTTTGGTGATGACGGACACGTGGCCTTTTGGCACCGAGTCAGGGTTTCCTAAATTTCCCAAAATAAAATATTTAGGTGGCGACTCTGTATCTGGCAAAGCAGTCCATGTTTGGCACTTCTTTCAAAAATCAGTTTTCCTAAAACGATTTGCCGGATTTGGACTATTTGGTTCAGACTTAGAACCGTGACAAACATTTGAGAGTCCGAGCTGTAGCGAGGTCCCCTGCGGGCTTGTTACACCGGCGACAATCGAACTGTATCACCCTATGTATCAGGTTCAAGCCGCTATGTACCAAGACTTGGACGCTACGGCTGGGAATTTCATTCTCACCGCTATACCGGTCCATATCCGAATTGGTGCTTTGATTTTCCGGTACGAACGTACTGGCCAATATTTAGAACTATGGACCACATCCAATCAAATAAGAAAATAGTGAAGAGCATTGCCAAAGAAATTAGTTGACCGAGTTTCAAGGTTAGTCAAATGGCTAAGCTCGAGTGGATTAAGTTAGAGGAAGTCGTAAAAGAGTGGTTATCTATTTAGAAGTTGTTTAGAATAATCTAAATAAGTATACTTTTTTTATTTTTATAAAAAGATATGCAAAGTAGTAGAAAAGTAATGTGAGCAAAATAAAATAAAAAGGCGTGCTAAAGTAACACATGTCAAATATTGCAAACACGAGACACAATCCCAACTAAAGCGAAACAAAGGGGGAGTGGTGCCTAAAATCCCTCAATAGTAACAACACAACCAACCATAAGTAAGCAAACCATTCAGAAGATCACGTGTATAATCATTAGCATTAAACCTATTGTTCCAGTGAGAAGTCATCTACAACTATTGACTTATGTATCAAAGAGTCCCCCGACTAATCACCCCAGCAGGAGAATCTTTTTTTTGGTGTTTGCATTACAGGTGCATTCAGGCGAGTCCTTATGTTGTGTTTGTACGCTCAGGCATCTCCTCTATATGGAAATTTTTCTCCACATAGAAACCATAAATTATTTTAACATAATTTCATAGTATATAGCCTACAGTTATGCCATTCTTCTAAATTCAATATTGTCATTTATTTTTGTCGTAGTTGGTAAATAATAGCATTCCAACTATGCTAGCTTTTTACTTCAAACTTCAATGTACCTTGCACATTTTTATTGGCAATATATTCCACTCAAAAGAATTTCCCATTTCATCTTTACTTTTGAGTCATCTAAGTTAACAAACACTCATGATACTATAGTTTTATTTAGCAAATTTCTGTATCATTCTATAGCAACAATCCATTTAGACTTTTTCCTTTATGTAGTAGCTAACCTCGAGCTTTAAATGGAAAGTTCACTATCTGAATTAGAGCTAACTCGAAGAAGGGATGCAAAATAGGAAGCTTGGAAATTGAGTAGAATGGTGGAGTGGATTTGGGTGCAGAACTCCAGAGTGAATTGGGCATTAAAAGGAGATAGAAATACAATTTTTTTTTCATGTTATGGCTACTTCTCGTAACAACAGGAATGCCTTATGTTCAATTAATGTGAATGGACTTGTCTTGGAGGAAGATCTTGAGGATATAAGAGCTACAGTGTTGGATTGTTTTAGGAATCATTTTACTGAAAGTTGGTCAAGAAGGCCAAGTTTATCTGGCCCTTACAAATCCATTGGGGGGGCAGAGGTTAGGGAAGCACTTGAAGCTGAATTTTCAAAAGCGGAAATAATTAGAGCCTTGAAGCAGTGTGAAGGTAATAAAGCACATGGTCCGAATGGTTTTAATTTGATGTTATTTAAGAAATGCTGGCAAATTGTTAAGGGGGATGTGATTCAATTCATGAAAGATTTCCACAGAAACTCTAAGTTGGTTCATAGAATTAATAGTTCCTTTGTTGCTTTGATTCCAAAATCTGATAATCCTTCTTGTCTTAATGATTATCAGCCTATTAGCCTCCTAGGCTCTTTGTATAAAATTCTTAAAAAGGTCTTGTCTAATAGGATCAAGAACGTAATGCCAAAGATCATTAATGATTCTCAATCAGCCTTTATTGGAGGTAGAAGTATTTTGGATGGTGTGTTGATTGCAAATGAAATAGTTGACGGTTGGAAGAAGAAGCATAGGAAAGGCATTTTATTAAAACTAGACTTTGAGAAAGCCTAATATTCAATTAACGAGGAGTTCCACTTCTCTATGCTTGCAAATTTTGGGTTTGGCACCAAATGGATTAGTTGGATGAGAGAGTGTGTGCTTTCAGCTAGAGTTTCTGTATTAGTCAATAGATCACCAACATCTGAGTTCACTCCTCAAAGAGGTCTTAGACAAGGTGATCCATTATCACCATTTCTTTTCAATGTTGTAGCTGAAGGTCTAAATATTCTTTTGGGTAGAGCTTTACAGTTGGGATTGATTAGAGAGGTTGTCGTTGGCTCAAACGATCTTGTGATCACCCATCTTCAATATGCAGATGATACAATATTATTTTGTGAGGCAGAATGGGGGGAGATTGGGAATGTTAAGAGGATTCTAAGATGTTTTGAAATGCTTTCAGGACTGAAAATTAATTACCATAAGAGTGTGGTGTGTGGGATTGGCATTAGTGAGGACCTCACTAAAGGATTTGCTGACAAATTGAATTGCTTACATCTAAATTTGCCTTTAAAATACTTAGGGATGCCATTGGGGGATTGTCCAAGGAGAAAAAGGTCCTGGCAACTTGTGATTGATAAGTGCAGACAAAAGCTAGCTTCTTGGAATAAGAGATTCCTATCTTTTACAGGGAGATTAACACTGATAAAGTAAGTGCTATCTAGTTTACCAAAAGAAATTGACAAAGTTCAGTCTAGATTCTTATGGGGAGGTGATGAACTTAGAAGAAAGATTCATCTGGTAAAGTGAGAGGAGATTTCAAAAAGTAAAAGTCAAGGGGGCTTAGAAGTTAAAAGGGTTAGGCTTATGAATGATTGTCTTCTCTTAAAATAGTGGTGGAGGTTTGGGGCTGGAGAAAAAACCCTATGGAAGCAAGTGATATGTAGCAAGTATAATGAGGTTGGGAGGGGATGGTGGCCTGAACTTGTGGAACTTCTCAGGTACTCTTTGATCTGGAAAGATATATTGGGGCTTGCTTCGGGTAGGCCTGATCTGGTGGAGTTTTTTAAAAATAACATAGCCCTGGTTATTGGAGATGGAAAGAGAACACTTTTCTAGAAGGATAAATGATTTGGAAATGTTTGTTTGACAGATGTATTCCCTAGATTATATTCTGTAATAGTGGGAAATGTTGAATCTGTGGACTTGGTGTATAGTAGAAGAACTGGTGCTGAGAAGTGGAATCTAAATTTCAGAAGGTCTCTGTTTCAGTGGGAGGTAGAGGAGTTTAGGAGAATGACTACAATGTTACTTAATGCTCTAGCTCTTAGGGAAGGTAGGAGGAATATATTGTGTTGGATTGCAGATGCCTTAGGGTCTTTCTCAGTTGCATCAGCTTATAAATTGAGTCAATTGGGTCATGGAGCTAATAGCAAGATTACTGAGTTCATTTGGAAGAATGTATCTTCTCCCAAGGTTCAATTTTTTGGTTGGTTAGCATGGAAAGGGAGAGTCAAGTCTTCTAGCTATCTACAAAAAATTGGTGTTCTAAATGCTGGATCAACTGTGAATTGTATTTTTTTGTAATGGAAAGGTAGAGAGTGGTAACCATGTGTTGTTACTTTGTCCTTTTACCTGGAGGATCTGATCTAATATTATCAAATGGTGGGGTATTCTTTGGGTAACACTTGGGTCTGTGGGCAATCTACTCAATTGGTGGCAGGGTTGGAAATTATCAAAGCAGCTGAAGTTAATCTGGAATGTTGTTTCTTTGGCTATGCTTTGGTTCATATGGAAGCAAAGGGATGACTGTCTTTTCAAAAGTGCTCAAGCTGATGTTGTGAGTTTGTGTGATTCCATCAAGGTGAGGATTGCATTGTGGATCAAATCCTCTTGCCCAGTTGTGGTATACTCAGTCAATGAGATTGTTCATTATCTTCAACAGGTATAGTCCACCTTGGCTGAGGTTACTATCTAGCTAAATCATGGGTGGTGGGCTGTGAGGGGTGGACCTTGAAGAGTGGTGTGTTGTTTTCTTGTTTTGGCTGGTTTTGTGGTACTGATCTTTCTTGTCTCTTATTGATCTATTTGTTGTTTTGTTTGTGTCCATCCTGTTGCTAGTGCATTTAGGCCATTTTGGTATGCAGTTTGTAGTAGTGTTGGTTGTGGTTTGTTCTGGGTTGGCAGTTCGGTTGTTGGGTGGTTTTCTTTTTTTTTTTCTCCTTGTTGCTTTGTTGGTGTCTCACCAACCTTTGGAGGTTGTGCTAGCAGATGATTGAGCGTTCTCCTTGGTGTCAACCTAGTTGAGATTGGGGTAGTGTTGCTTTAATGCTCTTTGCACTTCCACATTTTTATTGATGTATTCTCTTATGTAATAATGCATGTTTTCTTCATCAATAAAAAAAAAATTTACTGATAAAAAAAAAAAAAAAAGTGCTTTACCTATCGAGGGAGCAATCAAGTGATTGATGCTCTTGCTTCTTTTGTAGCCACGTTGAAAGATGTATTTGTTCTTACACCATTCTCCTTTATTTTTATACCCTTTTTTAAATAGGGATTGGTGTGACCCTCATGCTCATTTTGGAGTTTTTTTTTTAAAAAAAAAATTATTATAATATTCTAAAAAATAATAATAAGTTAGATAATTGACCTACTTTTCAAACTATTTAGGAAACTAATCTGCTTTTTGAAATCTCATTTTGAAAATGCGATTTTGAAATTGAAATTGAATTTTCAACATACAATTTTACCTTGAAATTGCATGTTGAAAATCCAACATATCTTAGTGAAATCCATGTCATTATAAATTACATTTTGCATGTTGAAAATGCAATTTCAATTTAAAATGGCATTTTCAAAATGCAATTTTAAAAAGCAGGTTAGTTTCCTAAATAGTTTGAAAAATGAGTCAATTCTTTTTCCTTTTTTTATTTAGAATATTTTAAAAAAAAAAAAAACTCTTCATTTTGTTTCTAATGTATTGACTTATTTTTTTAATTTAATGCACTCGTTTTGTGGAAAAAAATAAATGAATGGGAAGTGTAATACCTAAATACAACTCTCTTTTTTTGTAATTGTCTTTTATTTTCAAGAATATTTAGGATTCTGCCATAAACAGTACATATTCCTTCTATCTCAAAATATTAGTTCCTTATTTTATTTTTTGTCTCAAAATATTAGTCTATTTTCAAAAATTAAGGACGAAAATAATATAAATTTCATATTTTGCCTTTATTTTAAATTTATTAACAACACAAAAAATATAATTATGACAATTGATATTTTTCAAAAAATTTATTATCAAAACGTAATTTTGAAAAATTAATATTTTTAAAGTGTAATAATTATATTACAAAAAAAAATTAAATTTTTTAAAATAGACTATTATTTTGAGACGGAGAGAACATAACCTTCACATTTAATATACTTTAATTAATTATTGAATTAATTATTAGTCCACTTTTTGACACTACTTTCCTTGTAACAGTCATAGATCTTAAGCCCATTGAAACAACCAATTACTTACTCATTTTCTGTATTTAACTTTCTACAATTCCATCTTGTTTCACATTTTTAATTCACATATTTATGCTTGTAAATCATTGTTTTTCAAGTTGGAATTTACAAAATTAGCTATCTAACAAACGAGGTTCCATTGGACGGGAAAATCACTTGTATACATCTTTCGTTATTTCTACTTTATTTGGTTTAGTTTTTGAAAAGTAATTTTGATTGTTTTAATTTCGTATTTTTTAAAATTTTATTTATATTTCAGTTGTTTTTTTTTTATTTATAAATTTACTTTAATCTAAATGAACCTATATAAGTCAAAAAATCTGAAAAAAAGTTCACTAAACATTAAAAAAAAAAAAATTTGCAAAAATGTATTTTTTTAATCTTTAGTATTTTTTTTAAAGATTTTTTCAAATATATTTGGGTACATTTAGATTAGGTGGATCTTAAAAAAATTAATAAATTTGACTAAAATTTTTTTTGAAAAAAAAAATGTTAACTGAAAATGAAAAAAAAATTCAAAAATAATTTTTAAGATTCAAAACCAAGCAACCAATAATTTTTTAGAAGTCCATTGTCTAAAAAAAAAAAAAAAAATTGGACTTCACATTTAAGCCTGCTGTCCAAACCTATGTTACCTGGAACGTGGATCTTTCCGATATATGAAACGGAAATGAAAACGGGAACGTGGTACGTCACATGTTTTAAAATATGGTACGATAGGGGTAGACTTGTATATATTATATTTAAGAATTTAAGTTACTTCTAGAGTAATTTTTTTTTTAACTATTAGATATCCAATAAAATGTAATATTTTCTATGAGCATTATGACCAATTTTTTTATTTTTTATCTTATCAAAACTTAACTCACCTTGGATTTTAGTTCACTATATTTGAATTTTTTTCTCCTAAGGTAACATTTAAGGACATATATTGAAAAAAAACTTTTGGAATCGCTTTGGAACACTAAGGCCTCGTTTGAGAACAGGCTAATTTACTTACTTTTTGGCTATTTGGCTAAAAAGGTAGGTAAAAAAAACTTATATGTTTGGGATGTCTTTTTGGCTAATTACGAAAAGATGTGCAAAAAGTAGAGAGAAAAGAGAATCTTTGACTTTTTGGTATGAGTTGTTGGCTTTTTGGCTAATTTAGTAACTTTTTGACTAATTAGCTAAAAAAGTAAGTCCACAAACGGGGCCTAAATTTACTGTTTTGGAACGGACATATACCATGCTTCGGAACGTGTGTACCAATACGTAATTTGCTAGGGTATTAGCATTTTCTGGTAACATATATCCAAACGATGTATGTGGTCAAGCAACCTTGTAGCATTTTAGGCAAGTAAGCATGCATTTGTTCATGCGTGCACATCACACATGCAAATGCAAGTACCAAGTTTTGCAGTAAACAGCATAAAATGGTTTGGAGTGTACAGAACAAAACTAAGAAACGCTAGCAATTGAATATCTGTGACTTCAGCAATCTCTCAATGATTATTTACTCTATTGAGTGAACATGATTAATGATTTGTCTGCCTTTGTTTATGATAAGTTCTACATACTCAGTATACAAGAGCACCACCTTCAGGGAAATATACTAACATCTGCTCCCATATAACATGTAACAGGTAGCAACAGGTTCCTCAACTCAACAAGCCTCTCTCCCAAATCCCAATTATTTAGGAGATCTATTTCCCCCAACTGCTTATATTCATAACCTCAGCTAGGCAATATAACCTACTGATTGTTTAATTTTATTGTTCTCTCAGTCTGTTGTAGCAAGTTATCTGACCCTAAACAATAACCAGCTTGTTTGGTTCTGGTTTTCAGAAAACAGTTTTCAGAAAATTCTACTTTTTATTTTCCGTATTTTAATGTTTTCAATGAATTTTTTTAATATTATAAGCAATTTTTTTTTTAAGTTTTAGACACATCTAACATAAATACACTGAAAAAGTATAGTATTTGTGAAAAAAATCCTTAAAAAATAATACCAAAAAATACAAAAAATTCACCACATTTTTTGTATTTTTGTGTATTTATTAATTTTTTAAAATATTTTTCTCAAATATTTTATTATTTAGATACATCTAAATAAGGTACATCTAAAAAAGTAAAAAAGTTGCTTAAAATTTAAAAAATATTCACTAAAAACAAAAAAACACGATAAACAAAAAAACTCAGATTTCAAATAATTGAATTCAGAAAACTGAAACCAAACACACTGAATGATTTCAACTAGGTATACAGTCCATAAAATTGCAGAAATTGCATCTGGCTAGGAATCTTACCTTTGGGATCTACTTCACGAGAAATCTTAATTGCATCGGAGGTAGCAAGATCTTGATTGGCAGGAGAAATTGCAAGAATTATACAGTTGGGCTGCAGGTTAAGAGACAAAGATAGACTAATAAAATATGCATCTCATTAAAGTTAATACACGCAAAGCATCATGAAGACTTGAGAAGAAAACATGTAGTCTAGAGAACAGCTAGGAATAACTGCATGATACCATATACTGTATCAAGAATGCACACCTAATTCTTAAAAATAACAAGAGCAAAGCAAATGAAACATGCACAAAGTAAACTGCCCCCATGGAAGTAGGATGATCTAATTCAAAATTCTCACCCAATTGTGTACATCTCGCATATTTTTTTCACAGTTGCAGGGCCACTATAACTGACTCCATTTTGTTTACTCCTGTAGAACTCAACAATTGCACCTACTTGTTCAATACCATACTTCCATTCTGCTCTTATAAAAAGAATGTTGACTCTCTAACCATTCCGTTGCAGTTTTCGAAAACAACCAGAAATGTTTTTAAAAAAATGAAGCATACTATGTACAAAAAGTTCACACCCTTCTTTATATAAGGGTGTCCTAACCATCCAACCTCTATTCCATGCAGGTTATCATTAAACCCACCCTGAATAGTCCAGCATGCAGTTTAAAATTATTACTTCTAATCTTAGACTTCACTACAGTTCCCTTGTAGAATAGACCTGTTTCCCAAACGAACTTACGAGGTTCAAGGAAAACCAAAAGAATATTTTCATCAACTTAGATCTAACCCCCATAAGCAAACTAAATCAGAATTTGAATAGAAATTACCTTCTCAATATAGGACCGAACCATATTCTCAATGTCCTGCACAATGCTATCAGACTGGCCCTCTACAATGATCAAAATAATCAACATCATATTTTTAGACGGGGAAAAAAACAACAGTACAAAGTCATTAAGGAAACATTATAATTGAATTTAAAAAAATACATGCAAAAGTTGAGAGTTGCTTTCTCACCAACAGCAACTTTTGTAAGCCCGGGAAGATCAATTAGTGTCAAGTTCACAACTGCAAAGTCAAACAATCATAATAAAAAATAATTAATAATAAATCTTACCAAAAAACAATCATAATAATGAGATGAAGTAATTCCAAATTCTACATTTAGAATTAAGTAAAAATTCCAAGTTGAACTCCATATGAAACTAGAACTATGGGGACCAAAGCGCAATCTCACTAAACTATAATGACCAACGGTATAATTACCCTAATGTAATCTATATAAGCCTACCCCTATCATGCCACATTATAAAGCATGTGACATACTGCGTTCTCGTTCTAGTTCCATGTTCCAAGTAACATAGGTAAGAACTCTAATAGGTTATTCTCAGCTCACAAGACTTCCATTTACAAGAAGGTCTAGGAGAAGTAATAGTAGGGCTGTTCACAAGACCGAACCACCTGACACAACCGACCCGGCCTGACCAATCCAACCCCTCCATGGATGGTTTCAAACTGCTCTCAGTCGGCAACGGTTCAAATGCATCAAAATTCTGCAAATTTTGGTCGACTATCAAGCATCACATAACATAACCCATTCAACCCGACCCGATGAAATTATTTATATATAGTGCAGTGGGTTACATGTCCAGGTTGGCTCAGCAGATAGTGGAGACCTCCTAGGTAATTCCCAAGGTTACATGTTATCTCCCCGAGATTTGACTCATCCCCTCAAAATCTGACCTCTCCCTCTCTCTCATGAAACATTTTTGTCTCCTCCACTCATTCTCATGTCTATCTCTATCTCTCTCACCCTCTCATCTCCTTCTCTCTCAAGTTTGAGACGTACCGAAATAAAACCCAAAAGCCATTGAACCCTTTCTCTCTCTTATAGTTTCATCTCCCTCTCTGTCTCTCTAATCTACCAATCGAACCCAAAAGCCATCATCTTCAAGTCTCAGGTCTACCAAAATCGAAACCCTTGTGGCGAAAGATCAAGACTCGCACATGGCGGTGGTGTATAGTAGCGACATTGTGCTATGGCAAAAAGATATGTATCCTCTTTCTATTTTCAATTTTTCCTCCACTTTTTTGGTTATATCTAGTGTGTGAGAGAGAGTTTGTTATCTCTCAAATTTGTATAATATGCTACCGACACTGTGATTGTCTTTATGTATGGTAATGTGATTAGTGTGATAAAGGAAAGGACAAAAGCCATGGAATTTAAGCAGTGAATGGAAGATTAGCCGACCGAAAACCGCCCGCCAAACTGAACACCCGATGTGCATGGTTTCGAGCATAATTTGGATCGAAATCGGATGACCACTTCTCTAAACCAACAAGGTCAGTTCGAATGGCAGTTCAGTGGTGAAACCAACTCGACTTGACCTGTGAACAGCCCTAGGTAATAGGGAAGCAACCTTAACCCCTTTTTTGCAAAGAGGCCAATTCTAGTAACTGAAATTCATGCCACAGTGCTAGGGTGAACGAGCACTTGCCATCATGCCAGGACACAACCTCTATGGGTAAGAACCTATGTAGCATGGATACTTCAACTAACATACCGTACCTGTACTGGGTACTTTTTTGACATATAATACTTCTACATACATACCAGGTACACAAAACACGTGCTTAAATTTTTTCTTCTTAATTTTTAGCGTACCCCAATGTACCTCGTATATACCCAAACCATACCATACCTCAGTTGAAACAATATTTTCTTCAAAACTCCTTTCATTAGACTTCTTTTTTATTTTTAGTTTTATACTTAGCATGATTTTAAAATTAAACTATGGTTTGTAAGTTATCTAATATATTGACATTTAATTTTGATTTATACCTCTACTTTTGGCATTAAATGTTAATTATAGATTGGATCTTAACAAATTAAACCATTTAACTAATTTTTGCATTACTCTAAATTAAAAATAAATATTTTTTACGAATGTACCCAGCCGTACCTGCACCCTACTTTTTAAAGATTTTCCCATATCGACTTACCCGTATTGTACTAGTACTAGTATCAGTGCTTCATAGACTGTAGTTAGTTGTTTATTTGGATGATGTTAATTTAAAATATTTGATTTGTAGATTTGTGTGGCGAAAGAAGATTGAGAAGGATATTTCTCAAGGTGTGCCACTTGACATGTTTTCAATAAAAGCTGAGAAGAAGAAGCAAAGAGAAAGGATGGTATGTAGTTGCATGTCAAATTTTTTATTTGCATATTATTATTTAGTGTCAAGTTTTTCATATTACTAACTTGGGCATTATATATCATGAGTAGTAATTCTAAGTTCATTATGTGATACATGTATAAATTAGAGAACTGACATGGGAATGACTTGTCAAAATTGTAATTTCCATAAATAGAAAACTTAAATAATGTTAAGGTATTGTTTATATCATCTTATCAAGGGTTTTAAAAGGCGTCTTCTAGGCTCATCTTCAAGAACCATTTTTGTTGTTGACTTGTGTTTCAAAAATTGTTGGTTGATTGATAATTCTCTTATTAATTAAGGGAAAAAAGAAAGAAAGAAATTCACAGGACCATCCAGAATTTAAATAGCAGCAAAAATGTTGAAAATTTGTGTAACGCGAACATTGTTTGAAGAATGCGTCACTTGATCGGTTTTATTATCTTTCTTGCAGTACATTTGTGGCGTATCTACTTTTCCAAGCTTCAAAAGACGTTTGCTTAAAGAAATTAGAATAAATTGGTTATGTTGCATGTAAGATATTTAGTTACCTGAAAATTTTATTTCTCATTACTCTTGCAATTTTTGTTTTTCAAAAATTTTATTCATCAAGTTTGCTGAAACAGATTGTTCTCTGTTGGAACCATTTCTGTTGAAGAATGGTGTTCCAAAATTGTAGGCTGATATTGACATTACTAAGAAAAAAAAAGAAAAAAATCATGGGCTTATCCATAATTTAAATAGCAGCAAAAAAATGTTGATAATTTGTGCAAGATGAACACAGTCTGAAGAATACATCACTTGATCAGTTTTATTGTCTTTTGTTGAGGACATTTGTGTCATATCTACTTTTCCAAGCAGTAAAAGATGTTTGGTTGGTTATGTTGCATTTAAGATATTTATTTACCTATATAAAATTTATTGTTTTTTGATTTTTATTCAACGAGTTCTCTGAAACCTATGAGGCACGGACAATGACAAGGGACATGACACAGACACGCGGACACACAATTTTTTTAAAAACTGGGACAGGACACGCTGGGGACATGTTCAATATATATAATTTTATTTATTTATTATATGTTCTAAAATTGGGAAGAAAAAAAAAATCATTGGAAGGTAATTAAAAATGTAAAATAACACTAAAATAAATGAAACGAAACGAAACATACATTTCACTACTTTAACATCACATACCACATTTAAGAATAAAAAATTCCTATGAAATTACAATAACAAGATAATTAATAAACACATTCAATAAAACAATAAAATTAATTAGCACATTCAACAAATTGATTTTTTCTAACAAATAAAAATAATTAGTTCTATATATATGTTGAAGGTTAAGCAAGCAAGAATACTAAAAAAAATAGAAACAATGAAAAGAGGGGAAAAAAACAGGGGCTCATATATAAATAAATAAAATAAAAGTTTTTGTTAAAAATAAGATATTTTTAATCTCTCATCAGAGAGAAGAAAAAGAAATAAAAAATAAAAAAGTATTTTTAATCTTTCATAAGAGAATAAAATATACGTATATATATATATATATGTATATATAAACACAAAACAGAGACCATAAAACATAGGGGAAGAGAGACGAAAACAAAGAGAGATGAATTTTGAAAAAGTGAGAGAGAGAGAGAGAGGAGACGAAGTGCAAGAGAGAGAGAGAGAGAGAGGGAGAGAGCCGAAAGACACAGATAGAGAGATGACATGCAAACAGAAGAAACAAGAAAAACGAAGCAAAGAAGAAGAACGAAGGACATACCTCGATCTAGGCTTCAACTAGCTCTTCACCATCTTGAGTTTCAACAAGTTCAGATTCTTCTTCACCCTCTTTCTATTCTCTCTTCTCTGTTCTTCTCTTCCCCTTCTGCGATTCTCTTCTCCTCTTCTCATTCTTCTTTTTCAGTCTTTGTTTTTTACAGTTTGGCCCCATTTAGAAGTTTCATAAATTATGTTTTGTACCCTGCCGTGTCCGAAACGTGTCCGAGCATGTCCAAAATGTGTCCGGCTGCAAAAAATTTAAAAACAAAGAAAAAGGGGACACCTTAGGGATTGGAGTGTCGGACACGTGTCCACAGCGTGTTCGATGTGTATCTGTGTCCGATGTGTGTCCGACACTGATATGCAGGCCCTAGGGAGGTGTCCGTGCTTCATAGGCTGAAACAAATTGTTCTCTGTTGGTTTGTCAACTTTGAAGTTTGGATATTTTAAAAATTGTCTGTTTAAAATCTATTACTTCTTGTTGTTGAGTATGTAGCTTTGCAGGTTGTCATTATATACTATTGTTGATGTGCATTCTTCCATAATGTTGCAGGCGGAGATTGAAAAAGTGAAAAAGAGAAGGGAAGAAAGGGCGATTGAGAAAGCGCAACATGAGGAAGAAATGGTATGCCAAGCTTTTATGTTGTGGATTAGGTTTATTATTTGTTTGTTTGTGGGAAGAATTATTTGTAACTTTTTACTGGGGAAATTAGATTGCAGTTTATTATTTCCTTTTGCTCCCTTGGGTTGAGTTTAGGTATAGCTTGATGTAGATAACTTATTTTCTTTTCTTTTTTCCAGGCATTATTAGCCAGAGAACGTGCTCGGGCTGAGTTCCAAGACTGGGAGAAAAAAGAAGAAGAGGTGCAGCACTGCAATGATTTCAATATTCTATTCCCTTGCCATTTTTCCTTTTCATGTTTAACACATTATACCTTTATTATTTTTTTCTTGTTACGGTGGCATGTCTGTCATTTCTCTTCCATTTTGTGATATGACAAGTTGCTAACATATTTTATTACACAGTTTCATTTTGATCAAAGCAAAGTTAGGTCAGAGATTCGGTTGCGGGAAGGGCGTACAAAGCCGATTGATATTCTTTCCAAGCAGCTCAATCCTTTGGATGATTTTGATATAGAAATAAATGAACCATACATGGTCTTGAAGGTATAATTCCCTTACATATTTTAAAATCAAAAGTTTGCTATAGTTACTGTCCAATATTTTTGCCCTTTCTGTATTTTCTTTTTCATTTTCATTTAGTTGTTTAACTTGTTAGATAGCTACGAAAAAGTCCATGCTTACACTAATGTTGGGAGCAAGAAAAAGCTTGTGTTAGATTTTATCAATATCTTCTATTACACAATATGCCTTCCTGTCCTCTATTTTAGAATGTCTAGGTTCGTATTCTCTGTGTTGCTCTAAACTTTTTTTTTTTATCCTCGCTCTAAACTTATTGACATACTAGGGTGTTAGTCCTTAATCATGATGTCTGTCTGTTATATACTCGTGAGCATAGAGTGGAATAATGGTGTGGCATTTGGATATGTAGAATGTGAGTCTTTTGGATATATGTGCAAGTTGATCCAGTGTAAATAATATTTAAGGTGAAAAAATGAGTAAATAGGAAAACATTTTTAATTATTGCAACATGGTGGATTCAGACCACTAGTGTAGTAGATGTCGAGAGTGCCACAACCATTTACATGAGATGTAACGATTCACAAATGTGGATTTATAAGAAAACATAACAGTATTACTCCCTCTGTCCCAAAATGAGTGATGTTCTACATTACATGGACTCGGCAGTTTTGGCGAAGTACCTGTGTCGGCACGACACGACACGACATGGGTATGGGTATGGAATCCAATCAGGATACGGCATGGAGAAAATGGATACGGTGGCATACCTGCGATTAGGGCTTTGATCTTCATCTTAGGCTGCGATCGTCTTCATCTCTTGATTGTCTTCTCTCTTCTCTCACTCTCGATCTCCTCTTCTCTCACCCTAAATAAATAATTTATCATATATAATATAGTTTATAAATTATAATTTTTATCATATATAATATAAATTATATCATATATTATATAATTTGTCATATATAATATATCATAAATAATATAATTTTGATGCCTAAAATAAAAATAATATTTATTTTATCATATATAATATAATTTATTTTATGCCTAATATAATTTTTAATTTTTATTTTTTTTAACAAATCTTTTATTTCTTAACTATTTTTAACTCATCTTCATATAATAAATATATTTAAGGAATAACTATTTAATGTATCCTTGTATCCATATTCAAATTTGAATCCATATCTATGTATCCTTAATTTTTTAGTTTTGAAGTGTCCAACCCCTAGATATGCACCCACACCCGATGCCCGCACCCTAGTCCGTGTAACGTAGCTTGAAACTTGCCAACAGTCTGAAGTCTGATGTGTTTCTGAATTCATGTAATATAGGCTATATATCTATATATATCTCTCTCTATATATATATCTTTACTGATTATGTACATGTGGATTTTGCAATTACTTTGCCTAGTGGTTGATACTTTGTTAGGGCTTAGGTCTCTGTTAGGGACGTTGATAGGGTAGTTCATCGCTTAGCTGATGTAGTTATATACTGAGTGATGAGAATGAAGTATCTTCTTGTAAAGACTGTCTTACATATGGAACTTGATGTTACTGGCCTTCATGGAGATATCCCAGAAGCATGTGCCCTCTTTTTTTTCTTTTTTCTTTTTTCTTTTTTTTATTTTTTATTTTTTTATTTTTATAATTTTCTAGAAGTTGTCTTACAAGAAAAGAAAACTCCATGTTTCTTGATGGTTATTGGTTTTTGTTTTAGTGTTGCTATATTTTTCATATTCTTATTACTGCATCTTGTTGACTATAGGCAGGTGCTCTTGTACAAGTTTACACTGATGGAACAGTGTTAGTTGCACATAGGGGTGTTGAGATGGGGCAAGGTTTACATACAAAAGTTGCTCAGGTTGCTGCTTCTTCATTCAATATTTCTCTCTGTTCTGTGTTTATATCAGAGACAAGTACTGATAACGTAATGAACTTGGTTTAGATTACTAGTCTTTATGTTGTTTTAATTTTATATACTTGAAGTTTTTTTGGATTCACCTTGTTATAGAGGTTAGCTTTTATTATGCATTCTTTTTCAATATACGTAGAGAAGTGAAATGAGTGGGGTGGGTGAAAGATATGTTGCTCCTAGGAAGGGATCAAAATTCTCAACTTGACAAAAAAGGGATATTGCAACAAGCATCAAAGATGACTGAGATTGAGTCTTACCAATAGAAGAACTTTAGAAAGTTAGACCATAAAGAACTAAAGATTGTTTCTTTCCAAAAACATTATAGCAACCATTACATATGTGCCAGCACCGTCTTTAATAATTGAGTTGCCTTTTATCATAACCGAGGACTTTGGCTACATCATCGCTTTCTTGAAATGCTTGAAAGAAGTCATTATTGCTGTTCCAATGGACTTTAAGCTCTCAGCATCATGATATTCCTGCCAAAGAGTATTTTCTTTGCTTTGGGGGTTCTTGGTTGGTATCATGCAATTAGAGATAACCTTATGTAGAGCATCATGTTATATCAACGGAAGGGAAACGAATTATTAGTTGATATAAAGAGAAAAATGAACTCTTCAACTAATGTCTTAATCTATGTAGCACGGACACGTTCCTTAGGCCTGCGTATGAGTGTTGGATACGCTGCGGACACTTGTCCAATACTCTCCCTTATGTGTTTCGTTTTTTTTTTTTTTGAAAATTTTCCAGTCAGACACGCAGTGACACGTTTCAGACACGCAGGTTAGGATCAAAGAAGCCCAAGACCTGTTGGAGAGGAGAAAGAGAGAGAGCCTGAGACAGATCGATGGGAGAGAAAGGGAGACAGATCAAGGGATCGAGGGAAGAGATTGAGGGAAAAAGAGAGATAGATCGAGGAAAGAGAGAAGAAATTCTAACCTGTTTTGACTTGGTCTTCTGTGTTCTTCTTCTCCGTCTTCTTCTTCTTCTCTTTTTCTTCTTCTCTTCATCTTCTGTCTTCTTCTTCTTCTCTTCTCTGATTTTGTTTATTCTGTGTCTCTCTTCTCCCTTTTCTGTCTCTTTTCCTTCCTTTAATTTCTTATTTATTTATTTAATTATTTATTTATATCCATGTTTTTATTAAAATTTATAAAACAAATTATTTTTATTTGAAAAAAAATTCATTTTTTATTAAAAAATTTAGGTAATGTGTTTAATAATTTTATTATTATTGTAATTTTATAGGAACCAATGACTTTTTTTAAAAAAATTTAGATGTATAATAAATAATTAAAATTATATATATATTAAATGTGTCCCCAGCGTGTCGTGTCCCCCATTTTTTAAAATTTATGTGTCGGTGTCGTGTCCCGTGTCCGTGTCCGTGCTACATAGCTTTTGATCTTCTCATTTGTAACGTAATTCTATAAAACTTTCCACTGATTGGTAAATATTTACCTATTTCCCGTTGTTCTGTAGTTTTTCCAAAATAAAACCCTACAAATAAGAAACGAACTAAAAAAGAAAAATAAAATAAAATTCTTATATTCTTCAATTTGTTATCATTCATTGCCTTTCCAGTCCTCATCAGTGCCACATTTGTGTTACCTGATCGGCTTTTTTGGGCTTGGAAAGAACTTAATCTTTTCGAATTTGTTGCTTTAGGTATACAAATTGTAGGTAATCTCTAGATCTAGTTGCTGGTATATTTTTTGTGCTAAAATATGTGACTTTTTTGGGGGGCCTAATTTTTAGTGCCATTTAAAAAAAAAATTTACTTTTTTTGGGGGTAATTTTTATTATCTCTTAAATAAAATTTTATTTTAAAAATATATAAATTATTGTAATTTTTTAGAAAGCTATCCATAAAACTAATTTATAATAGCATTCATCTTTCTTTGTTTCTAGTTTTCCGAAACACTTTTCGGAAAATTTTACTTTCTTATTTTCCGTGTTTTTTTGTTTTTACTGAATTTTTTTAATATTTCGTTGGCACCAAGAAACAAGGACTCAAATGTCCACTCGTCAAGAATCAAGAATCAAGAACCAAGAACCAAGAACCAAGAACCACGAACCATCATGTTCTATTGCATCTAAGTCCAACATCTCAACAAAGATCGCATTGCTAGCAGAGATCATGACTTGCTAGTTCAAAAACATCAAGATCCTAGTATCAACTCATCAGAAACCAAGAATAAACAAGTTCTACCCCTATTTAATTTCAACATCTCAACCAATATCAATAACTCAACTGAAATCATCGTGTTAACTAAGATCACTATCTCAACTGAGATCATCATCTCTACCGAGATCAATATCTCAGCTGAGGTCATCATATTAACCAAGACCACCATCTCAACTGAGATCGCCATCTTAGCCAAGATCGTCATCTCAACCGAGATCATCATCTCTACCGAGATCAATATCTCAACTAAGATCGCACTACTCAATCAAGATCATCAGGAGATTGGAGAGTACTAATCACGTCAGCATCATGTCGCATTAGTTTTGCCCTACCGTCTGACGTCAGCACGGGCATGTCAGGACTCGAAATCATAACTTTTTGTCATATTTTTTTAATTCCAGCAAAACCATTTCATCTTTCTATTTCGTCTCTATTTGTGTCCCTAGACTCTCTTTCTCTTGGCCTCTGCAAACCATTATCGCTGTTCTTGAAGCATTCATTACTATGAAGACTTCTTTTGTGCCCAAGGTTCAAACTCTACCAGCTGAACTAGACTAACAACCAAGCAATTCATCAGTTGCTCTACACATCAACCCACCATCTCAATGGCAGTGAAAACACCGACATAGCGAAAATCTTGCGGCTAGAACCAGGAACAAGAAACACCAAGGTCCTAAGCTCCCTGCCTTAGACTTTGATAATTTTCTAATCGCCTTATTTGTGAGTAACCATCGTCGTAACCAATTGTAGACCGCTCAAGAACTCCCGCTCCGCGTGCGAGGGCGCGAATAGTTTGTTCATTAGTTACTGCAGTTCAGACCCGTGTCACGATTCTGAATCTAATCTCACGAAGTGCAATGTGAGACTGATAAATCACCAAAGAGTCCAAATTCGGCAAATCGTTTTGGAAAACTGATTTTCATAAAGAAATGTCAAACATGG